CGTCTCCCAACTGCACCCAGTTTGGACTCCGGCGGGAACCCCTGATTTAACATGGGCTACCAACCAACCAACTCGTTCGCACGCTATATTATCAATCCGCCCACAGGCAATGCACGTGATGACGCACAAGCTGCCACCAGGAGTGGGGCTCTACCCCGCCAGTCGGGTGATTCAGAAAGCCAGTCGAGCCGCTACCCACTTGAGTACGCAAACTGAGTAGTCCGATTGCAGACCGATCTTCCGCATGGTCACATAGGCTTTGTTTTTCTTTATAAAGTACGCTGTTAGCGTACGGCAATATACGTTAACTCTTCCGTCCTTGCCATTGAGTGCTCCTTTAGAGGATTTGATCGAGGCGTTGTTGGACAGCGAACATCGTGATTTGTGGCAAGGACTTACGCCAAGTCAACCATTTGCGCTCAATGTCCTCTTCTTCCCTTAACCCCACACCAGCCAGCCGCTGTCCTTACTTTCGAAAGATGAGATTGCTAGCACTTATAAATCTGGATTTTCGGATTCTCGTTCGAACTAAAACACTGGAAACAATCCTTCCTTTTTTCGTGGGTGGAGAGAATGAGGTAGATGCATTGTAAGTCTCCATTACTAGAATTGTAATTCATACTCAAGTTATCACCGCGTGCGCGGGGGATAGTGGTGATCTTTAGCGTGTAAGACCACCGAATTATCAGGGCTATAAGGATAGACTGCGTACTATGCGATATTCAAAAATAGCGGCACACAGCTACAATGGAAACCAACTAGGAATTAATGCTTAAGGAAAAAAGAAACGTCATTATCACTATAAACATTCTACGGTCCGATCGTAAAGCAAGATGGGATACTTTGGCCGCCATTGAAATTAATTCGAGTGATCGCTCGAATAAAAATAACTGAATAGCAAGTGCCAGAAGGGCAGGGCTTCAACCTACGTCAACGGTTTCCACCCGGAAAGAATGAGGTTTCGGCTTTGGCGTAGACTGCGACCGGCACCCGAAATTGACTCCTCTGAGTAATACTTCAAGACATCGTCAATTTTTGACTGGTTGGCTTCTTCAAAATTCTCCTCACCATCGGGATTTTCGAGGGGAGGGCTGTTAGTGGTGGCCTGCGAAGCTCGTCGCTTCTCCAAGATTTCCATCTGAAGGACCCGAAAACACGGTACTTACATCAGCCCGAGGCTTGGTATGAGCAGAGTAAAGTAATTAGGTTGATTCAGA